TATCATCAAATCTACTTTTGGGAATCGGAATTTTAATTACTGGAGATTTAGTGTGACAATTAACCTTCGATTTTTGACAATTTATACATTCTTTTGACCAAATATTAATTTCTTTGTGCATTTTTGGCCAATAGTACTTTTTAATAATTAGACGACGTGTAGCTTTTGTACCAGGCTGTGTAATGCCATGTAACATATTAAACACTGTCTTGCGTAAACAATTTGGAACAAATGGCCTAGGATTCTCACCTGTCATTTCACACCAAATATTAAAATTTAAAAGTGGAATTTGAATTAATTTAAGGTTATGTGACGTGTCTCCAGATTTTAATGTGTTTAGTTCCTCGTCCTGTTCTTGTTCATTTTGTAAAACTTTGAAATTCAGTTCTGTACCCTTAATTGCATCAACTTCGAAAGCTCGAGATATTGTGTCAGCTATAATGTTCTCCTGTCCTTTAATATATCGTATGTCATTAGTAAATTGTGCAATGAATTCCATATGTCTAGTTTGTCTCTGACTACGTTCGGTTTTTGAACTCAAAGCATATATCAAAGGCTTGTGATCTGTAAAAACTGTAAATTGTCGTCCTTCTAAAAGATAGCGAAAATGTTTAATGTTCAAATAAATAGCTAGCAACTCCCTGTCAAATGCACTGTACTTAACCTCGGATGGAGAAAGTTTCTTAGAAAAGAAAGCTAGTGGCTCTGATTTGTTATCAAACGTTTGATGTATGACACCACCAATTGCCATATTAGATGCATCCACATTTAAAGAGAGTTTGGCATCTTTGTTAAAATCATTTAACAATACCCTAGACGCAAACTTTTCTTTAATACATTCAAAGGCTTTATTTGTTGTGTCATCCCAAATTAAGGACTTCTCACGTTTCTTAGTTGTTCGATTGATTAAATCGTAGATAACTGCCGTAAACTCAGCTCATTTTGGTACATATCGATGGTAATAATTAACCATGCCTATAAATTTCTGCGTCTGTTTAATAGAATTAGGACGTTCAAAACTACGAATAGCTATCACTTTTTCATCAGAGGGTCTAATTCCTGCCCCAGAAATATTATGTCCTAAAAAGTCAACACTTGTTACACCGAAAGTAGATTTACTTGGTTTGATATTTAACCCGTACTCTTTTAGGCGTTGGAAAAGTATACGGAGATCTTTAAAATGCTGTTCTTCATTTTCACTTGCAACCAATAGATCATCAATATATGTAAAAACAAAATCTAAACCACTAACTACTTCATTAATAAATCTTTGAAAAGTTTGCGCTGAATTTCTTAGTCCGAAAGGCATTATACGTTTACGTATATCTTTGCGAACCACAATTGTGCCTGTGCTGATTTGAAAACATCACGAGAGGCCTGCGCGCCATGCAAGTCTTCAGTTTTGGCAAATTCCCGGAACTACAATAGAGGTTGCTTCATCCAGTGTCCAAGTAAGCGTAGCATGCAGGGATTGCAAACGCCACTACAATCAGCATCAATTAAAACTAACAGCGTCAGCATAAGCATCAGCTTCAGCTAGTCGCAGAAGCTGTTTCAACTACAACCACAACATTTACTTCATAACAGAGGAGAATTAACGATTCAAGTTCACCACTTAAGAAGCGGCGATATCTTTCCTACTCATTAAGGCCAACACTAATTCCAATAACAACTACTGCGTACAACAACAGACAGCGACAGCGTTAGTAGCAGCAGGAAAATCAACGTGAACATCAGCAATGTCACGTACCAGTTTCAGTGCCAGTAGTAGCAACGGAAGCAGCAGTAGCAGCAGCACAAAAACGCTCAACAAATGAAGAACATAAACTTTAGACGCAGTTGATAACTCCGCCGATAATAGTAGTGATAACAACCAGTACTAGCAGCAGTGTAAATATCAACTATACAAAAGCAAAGCTCCTACCACTGGCAACAACAAGAACGGTAAGAAGCAATAGCAACGACAACGCAGCAACAATCACGTTGACTGTGCTGTCAATATCAGCAGTTGCAGAGCACAGTGAGCTGTTTCTTTTTATGTAATATTTTTGATAAAAATATTTTTATATTTATTATTATATATCTTTTAATTTTTAATTGTAAACACTCCTTATAGAGTTTTTTTTTTGTGCGAAGTTATCATAATGTTTCGTTCACCCCCACATGATACACACATATCTACACGGACTTATAATTTAAATGACTCGCTTATAGATTTGCAAAACAACTCTTTTCAAGAGGAGTTGGCAAATCCTTATGCTAGTCAAAATAATAATGAGGTATATGCAACCTCAGTGAAGCTTCCGCCAACTCCTCTTGAAAAGAGTTGTTTTGCAAATCCTTATGCTAGTCAAAATAATAATGAGGTATATGCAACCTCAGTGAAGCTTCCGCAATTTTGGACAAGTTGTCCAGAAGCTTGGTTTGTGCATACAGAAATGCAATTTAACATGAAAAACATTACACAAGATACTACAAAATATGAACATACAATCACAGCGCTTCCGCAAGAAGTATTAGTTACAATATTAGATTTCATTCAAAATCCTCCTGGCAGGATCGCCAAAAATGTAGTTGATTCCAAAGATATTTTTTTTAAATATTTTTATTAAAAGTTAACAAAACTTAATTTGTTTTTATATTGTTTATTATTGCAGTTCTATCCCAGGGGGATATAGGTACAGACAAACCAATTGCATATATTTCTCGCTCTCTGAACAAGGGCGAGGAAAACTACGCTACGAATGAAAATGAGATGCTAGCCATAGTGTGGGCATTAGATAATTTGAGGTCGTATTTGTACGGTGCCAAAAAGATAAGAATATATACTGATCACCAACCATTAACATTTGCCTTAAGCTGTCGCAATTATAATGCAAAACTAAAGAGGTGGAAAGCACACATCGAAGAATATAACTGTGAAATAATTTATAAGCCAGGGAAGGCTAATGTGGTCGCGGATGCTCTTTCCCGTCTTAAGACCGAACTCAACGCCTTAACGGAGTCTGTGGTGGCTCAACCGTCAGGAAGCGAAATAGGAAATAGTGGTGAGGTAGCAACAATGCACTCCGCTGAACAGGATAATTCCGATCTTATACCACACGTCGAGGCCCCCATAACCGTTTTTAGGAATCAGGTGATATTTAGAGTAGGTCAGGAATCTCGATGCCATGAGCAACCGCATCATGGCTACCGCAGATATTTTATTTCTTTACCAAATATCGACAGTTCAAACGTTATTCCAATTCTCAAAGAATGCCTTAATCCTAATGTTATAAATGGCATAAAAATTCCTGAGGAATTTCTCCAATTATTGCAAAACGTGTATGCTAATAATTTCCATTGGTATAGGATCAGGATAATTCAACGCCTAGTGGAAGACGTGACCATCCCTGATAGAATTTTCGATTTAATCGAGGAAGAGCATCGCAGAGCCCACAGGAATTCGAAGGAAAATAGAGAGCAGATTCTAGAAAAGTACTACTTTCCAGGTATGTCAAAACAAATTAGGGATTAAGTTAGGCAGTGCGAAGTGTGTAAGCTTAATAAATATCCGGCTATGCCTCACCTCCAGCCGACACAGATTCCCAGCTAATCATGCGAGATCATTCACATGGATATTTTTGAGATTGAAATTCAGAAGTTTCTGAGCTGTGTAGACAAGTTTTCAAAATTCGCAAAATTATTCGCTATCAAAAATAAGTCGTCCATTTATATCCGAAGGAAACTTACTGAAGTTTTACATTATTTTCCCGTGCCAAAAATCTTGGTCATGGACAATGAGAGGGGATTCCTAACTCCACTCGTTCTCAATTACATTAGATCTCTCACACACAACGGAGTGAAGCCAATGGCCAGGGCGAAAGGTTACATTCAACCTTGATTGAAATTTATCGGTGCATATCTAACGACTTTCCTAGGATGACTCCCAAAGAGAGGGTAGCGATAGTCGTAGATAGGTACAACAATACCATCCATTCCATAACAAAAAGGAAACCGGTAGATATATTCTTTAACAGAACAGCTAGGGTAAACTACCAAGGCTTAAGGGACTTTAGGGATCAAACGCATGAGAATATCAAAGCTTTGTTACTACATGAACAAGAAGCTAGAAATGCAAGGATCAATTCAAAACGCTCGCCACCCAAAGAATATAATAGTGGCGATACTCTGTTCATAGCAAACAGACAAATAAAGGGGAAACAAAAGCCTCTATTTAAAAAAGAAACAATCGCAGAAAATAGAAATGCGACAATAGTAACTGAAAGTGGGAAAAAATTCTACAAAGCAGATATAAAAAATGTGTAAGATAACATTAGACAAAAGGTTAATAAGAAGCTTAAGATTACTAGAATCCGGCGGTTCGGAATGCAAGCGTTTATGCGTTTGTAGTCGATGAAGTCATAGTGGTTCAATTCCACCTCGCTCAGTGGTGTGAGATGGCAGATTCGAGGTGGTTCAACTCCCCCACGGTAATCTTCTGCTTATTTGCGTGAAGCCACCCGTGCCATGAGTGGGTTATTTGCAATTGTAAACGCTTATGACTAAAAGGGACCAACGCGGAACTTCCATAGACAAATAATACCTATAGTACGATGCAAAAACCATAAATACACATTCTGCTAAATAAGTACGCAAAAGTAACAAATGTATACAAGAATAATCTCGCGCAAAAGCGCCAAAAATAAAAAATTAAAGAAAAATTAAAGAACATGCAAATATGATGCAAATGCAAATGCTAAACAAATAAAAAAAAGAGAAAGTGAATTCTCACAAAAAAGGGGAAAAAGATTGCATGAAATTTATTACTACAATTAACTTTCGTTTTTCGCATTAACCACTTACCACTAATTAATTAACAATTAACATAAT